CTTCTTGGTTGGTTTGGCAGGGCTGAAACTTGGGAGGGCTGGGTTTCAGCATAGGCTGTGGTGTATTCTCTGCTCTGTCCATGCAGTGTGACATGTGGAGGCCTGGTCTGGTCTGGCTAAAGGACAGTAAAGGAAATGTGCTGAAGCCTCAGGCTTGATCACATTTGTTCCCAACCTAAACGTCACCACTAGGTGAACTCTGCAGGTGTGTTTAATTCCTAACAGCCCTGTCATTGGCCAGGGAGACTCGTTCCCTGCCATCAGCTTCCTTCACTGGCAAGGACACAGGACAGACACATTGCTCCGGAGGAGGATGGAATTGCAAAGCCCTTCAGACAGCCGTATCAAAGGTTACCTCCAAGCAGGACCATGAGACAGGAACCAGGACAACCACGAATAACCCCATCTGTACTGTGGTGGTCAGGATGAACCTCCCCCAACCCCCTCCCCACTCATGAGGTTCTTTATAGGTAACTGATCTTGGTTTGAAATGCCACAGACGTGGTTTCAAATTGGTCTTTGCTACAGCCATGACCTTGACATGGGTAAAGGGGTCAGAACCCCTCCTGAAGCAGCTTCATGAGCCAAGCTAACTAAGGCAGCCAGCTATGCAGGGAACCACCCAGATGTTTTGTTTTGTTTTGGGAGTGGTGGCGGCAGAGGGGCAGTATACAGAGTTCCCCAGCCATTCTGTGACATTAGCCAACCGCACCCTAACGAAAAAGGAAAACGCGCCGGGTGGTGTGAGACCCCACGACCCTCACCTTCTCAGTCCTGCCACGTGTATTCTCTTTAGGGGCACTCTTGGCAATGCCACCATACAGGAAGCACAGGCTGCCTTCCAGACTCTCGCCAGTCTGAGTGTTGGGGCGGAGGGACTGTTCCATCAGTCCCCTGCCGCAACAGCTAGTGTGACGGCAGGCACCAAAGGCGAGGTTGTTCCGAGTCATTTGTCCCATCAGCTCACACTACGTGAGCGGGTTCCTTGAGGGAGGGTAATTACCAGATCAGAAGCCGGTGAGATGTCCTTAGGGTACACTGTTTCCCCCCCGAGACTGGTTCCTTTCACAATTATGTTCTCTACCAGGAATCTATTACATGATCTAGTTTTTCCTCCAAAGACACCATTAATCATGAGATGAAAACTTAAGTACAATTGAAAATACACATTTGGTTAAACACAACTGTCAGTGCTTGGCTTCTCTATGTTAGAGAGACAGAATGGCCTCTCCTAAAGCTAGGAGTACCATCGTCCCTTCCCAAATCCCCTTCCTCCCTGCAGGAGGAATTTTACATCCTCACACGCTGCCTGCTCCCTTTAAGATGATACTGTATTGCTAGTGTCGCTGTCTTCAAAAGGCCCAGTGTGGTAGCACCACATTCTGGGGGAAATAATGGAATGCAGCGTTGTCCGTGGGGTTCCACAGAGTGGTCCCGCATCTACCTGGATAACGGAAGAGAACAGCTGGGTCCCCTCTCTAGCTTTGACTTTGGGCACATTGCCTGTGCTCCCAGACTCCTGCTGCCCTTCCCATCCACAGGCTAGATGCCCCCAGAGCCCTCACTCCTACAAGTCGAGAGGCTTCCCTCTGGCAGTGCTGTGGCAGCCAGCTCCGGAGTTATAGTCAGCGCAGCACATTGGGGTGAATCTTAAAAGCCAACAACCAATCAACTCAATGTACAGACAGCAAAACTAATCAGGTGGCAGCATATGAGAAGTGGCTTCTGCGCTGAAGGTCACCTTGGAGCCACACAGAGAGGAAGGCAGTTCCAAAAAATCACTATGGCGGAGAGGGAGAAAGGGAAAGAGGATCCAGGCTATGACCTCACTGCTCCAGTTGCTGCTGGAGCTCTTGAGGGTCACTAGCCATCGGAGGGGCAAAAGAGCTAAAGATCCCACATGGGGTGGGAGGTGGGGACAAAGGAAGCAGAATTTAGGGACATTAAGGAGCAGAGGCAGGAAGGGGGTCATGTGGGGAAAAGGCAAGGAATCTGAGAGGCGTGCATAGCATATCAGCCAGCCTGATGCCTGGTCCCGGGCGAAATGTACACTTTATTGATTGCTTGCTTCCTGTGTGTTGAGGAAATTGAGCCCCTAGGTTCACGGTCACCAGGATGTAGCACCGAAGAGCACGCTGGTGAAGAGAGGGAAGTTACAGGGGTGTCGGCAGCTCAAAGCTGGTGGGACAAGTGACTAGACTTTCCTGGATATGACCTGTAGAGCTGTTTCCCTGCAGGCTGCATAAAGATGACCCATATGGCTCAGAACGGGGCAAGGCCTGGCCATCATGTTGGGCTTCACCGAGTTGGCAACCATCACTGGGGTGTCAGGCAGGAACAAGCCCCGCCCCGCAACCACTCTCTGCCTTAGAGTGCTTAGAGCATTTAGATTCTGAATTGTAGGTCTAACAAGCAGGGAGGGGCAAGGCACACAGGGCAGAGGGCACCTCGCAGATGCTGCCGCAAAGGAGGAAAAGCAGAGCTGGAAGATCAGACCGCAAGCCGTGCCTCGCCAGCCAGCCGAGAAACCAACAACAGGGACGCCCCAGACTGAGCATGTCCGTCGTCCCTCTGACTCATGGGCAAGTCCCGCAGGGCTCACGCTCGGCTCCTCCCATGCCTGAACCCACAGAGGTTACTATAGGGCAAGCAGCCACCTAGCTGACCGTCCATATGCCTGAACCCAGAGGTTACCACAGGGCAAGCAGCCACCTTGCTGAACTCCGTGAGGGTGCTGAGAACAGATATTTGTGTCTCAGCCTTGTTAAGAACCATCACTTGCTGGTTGACCCGGATGGTGAACGGGCCCTGTTTACTCTCGGAAGACACAGTACCTGGAGGGCTGCCCCTCCTGGGCCCACAATTATGTGCTGGGTTTCAACTCAAGATGCTGCCATGGTTTGATGGTTCGTCTTGAGTGCCGTCTTGATAGGATTTGAAATGGTCATGGAAACAGGATCTGGGCGCTTCTGTGAGAAGTACCTATTGGCTAGACTAGGTTACCTGAGGTGGAAAGACCAACCTTAAATGTGGTGGCAGCATCTCCATGGGCTGGGGTCCTGGACCGAATATACAGGGGGGAAGCTAGCTGAGCGCCGGCATTTATCTCTCTCTCTGCTTCCTGGGTATGGAAGTAACTACCCAGCTGCCTGCCGTCGTGACTTTTCTGCCATGACAGGCTGTACCCTGCACCCCTGTGCCAAAACAAACTCTTTCCCCCCTTAAGTTCTTCCTGCCAGGAATTTTTGTTGCGACAAAACGAGCTAGCAACCAACACACAAGGCTTCAAACATCCAAACCCCCACACGGCAAGCCGTCTTCACCTACAGCATGGGTTTTCAAAACCTCATCTCGACACCTCCAAGACCACACACGACACCCATGCAGAGAGCACTGTGTGCCTCACAGGCCTGCCACGGTTTCTCTATACTAACCAGCGAGCCCCATTTGGTGCATTTTCCCATAAAATCTGTGTATCTCCTACCCTGCAATTCTAGCGGGCTCCACAGAACGGGCCCATGGCTGAGCCTGGCGCAGTTTCTTTCTTAAACAAAGCAGGCTGGCATCTGGAAATGAGTATCAGATAACAGTGTCCTACAATCAGCCTTTGAAAGGGGACAGGGCCTGCTCCTGGCTGTGCAAACCCAGACACAATCGCCGAACAACCACCGAGCTCAGAGGTCCTGGCTTCTCAAGTTTCCAAAATTTTGTTTACCACCAACACCAGATTACCCCTGCCAGCGACCTCATGGGCTCAGCTTCAAGGGACAGAAAAACAAGGAAAAGAGAAGGCGAAAAACTTAAAAAAGAGTCTAACTTAGTCCTCTTAAGAAAGAAAGGTTGTGTAATATTTAAGATAAGAGTAGCGAACCCCCCAAAAAACAAAAACAGACCAGTCTTTCGGTGATGCCTGATTCATTTCGGATGTCCCAAGTTTCTTTCAGGTTTCCAATGTGCATGCGGTGACTCAGGAGACACCAGGGACTGCCTGGTCTGTTCCCCAGCTACCCCACTTCTACAGACAGCAGACTAAACTGAGAAACAAGTACCCCTACACAAGTACCGCGTATGAACTCTGACCTCAGCAAGCTGAGAACCAGGGAAGGATGCCGAGCGACTGGGACGGTCAGTCCCAAGCTCCTTGGGCATGAGGCAAGGCCCCTCATCATCTGGTGCTCCAGGGGCGTCCTCTGCCCCATCCTGCCATCTTAACGGACACAGCTCATTTTATGACCGGCTGGTTTTCCTCTATAGGTCACCAGAGCCACACACTGAAGAGTTCTCCCAAGACCTCAAAAACAGTTGGTTCCCAGAAAAGGCCATGCCAGACCCTGGAGTGCTCTTGGGCAGCTGATACTTGGGAGCCAACACACACTTTCTCTGGATGGCTGGAAAACTATTCCACCTTAAAAGGTGGGCGTAAAATGAGTGACCACTAGGGAGGACCCTCATGCTAATACCAAGAAAACTCTGATGCTGAGGGTGAGCTCGGCGAAATTCTTTATCCAGTCCTCGATACTGGAAATCCAAGACACTTAAAATTCTCATTTTTTCTGAGCGCTACCAATGGAACTTTCCATGTGACGAGTCACAGTCAGAATATAGATGCACAAGAAAAACGTATAAAATTCTCTGTCATGAGTCCTGTCCCCAAGGTACCTCCTTATAGGTATGTACATACTCCCCAAATTCAAAACATATATGCAGTCAGAAGCATTTCTGGTCCCAAGCATTTTCAACGGGGGATACTCAACCTGTACCAACACCCCCTAAATTGAGAGCCACCGTGAACTCTGAGATTGTCTAATCCGACTTGCGTATTTCACAGGAGAGGAGTCAGTTGTGGATCGGCAAAATAAAATTAGCGAGGGCAAGGCTGTGTTGGAAGAGAAGACATCTCAACCTTCCAAACAGCAGACCAAGACTTTCCCCGAACAACCTGCGGCTTCCTTCATGACTCCCCGAAACCCAACCACTGAGGAGGTGGCTCCATCCCGTACCTTTCTTCCTCCACCAGGGTCCTTCGGGGACGGAGTAGGAAAGGTCCTTGAATTCGATGTTCACGGCTGCCCTGCGAGGCAGGGAGGAGAAGCGCTGGGCGTCTGTGAAGTTGTTGTCCACCTTCTTCAGGTGCCCGTTTAGCAGGTCTGTCTCAACATCATCCACGTTGCTGGACACGGCCTCGTCCACCGACACGCACACGGACTTGGGCTCCGTCATTGTTGCAGAGTAGCTGCTGGCATTCTAGAAAGCAGAGCAGAGAGACAATACGATGTGTTATGTGCTCCCTGGAGGGAAAGAACATAAAGAGCCTTGCCAGCTGGGTTCAGGGTCATCAATTATCCGTAGAGATACTTTTTAAACTCTGAGTATACCTTTGCACCCCCCCACCCTCCCCGGGAGGAGAGAGAGGCAACCTGCCGGAACTGTCCCAGCTAACTATCCCTTTTGCTTCTAGTGAAAAAGGCACCTAAGATAAGATGCCAAACGCATCTGCTGCCTTCCTTTAGAATTACAAAATCTAATCATAAAACTTTAATAAGTGATTTGCTTCCCCCTATAAAGAAGAGATGGGCTAGCATGGAAAGTCACCTCTTTCCAGTCTGCTCAGAAAAACCTCAGGGAAGGAACACGAGGCTCCAAAGAATGATGAACAAACCGGCCTATTTAAAATGAGCTCTGGTCATGTGTTTCCTGTGCCTCCTCCTGACCTGTCTGGGATAGCCTGTGGGGGCGGACCACACTTTACTGTCACATTTTCTAGATCCCTTGTAACTCTACTCTATTGGAAGGTTGCGGCAATCTGCGTTATTTCCTCCATTACACAGGCAAGGAAACCTAGGTACCAAGGACAACTTGAGGAATCTGTGCAGGGTATCACAATTGGGCGGGGGGGGGGGGGGGGCGCGTTTGAGTGAGAGTGAGGTCTAACCTTGAGCCATTAAGATACAGGGAAGTGCTTCCTGTATTACAAAGGCACCCTGGAGCTAACATAGGTGGGGCTACAGGAAAGCCTCCAGCACTAAGTCAGACACAGCTCAGGCTTTTAAGCCTTTCTCAGGGAACCGAGGACTCTGGAGAGGGTGGGCCAAGACCCAGGAGTATTTATGCAAAGCAAGGGGTTTGCTTTTCTAATGGCTTGGCAACCCCGGCTTGATCAATAAGCTTCAGGAACCTCCAAACGCAGCAGGGCCCTGAGGGGACAAATTGTACTAAAGTGTTTCTAGCTGTCTCCTGCAGACTAGGGAAAGTGTCCAAAAGCGTGGGCCTTCTGCAGGCTCAGCCAGGCTGCTGATAATGCATGGGAGAGGGCCCACCCCTCACCACTTCTGGTCAGCAAGGCCGCTGGTCTGGCGAGGCACTGCTGTCGTCTTCTGCTCTAGAGAGGACACGCGTGGTGTTCGCTCTCCTGTGTGCGTATTAACTGGTTCTCTAATATTGCTTATTATTTATTATTATTTTTCTTAAAAAGATGAAATGAAAACTATACTGGATTGCCCACAGGAAGTCTCCTGAAGGGCTGGGTCGGTGACTCTGGTGGTAGGATGCTTGCCTAGCATGCCCAAACCCTGGCTTTGCTCCTGAGCGCTGTGGAAGCGCTTTGCGGTGACCCTAGCACTTGGGAAGTGGATGGAGGATAGCTGGAAGTTCAAAGTCATCTTCAGCTACAAAGTTGAGGCTGAGGCCAGCCTTGGCTACACAAAACCCCATCTCCAGCCCACCAACAAAAATCTTTATAAGCCTGGCAAGATCTCCTACCCACCCACCCACTGAAAGCATGCAACTGAATCATGGAAGAGCTGGTATTAGTGCCATCATGGCATTTGGGGGTTCAGAGCCTAGTGGTAAGCTTGGGGGGCTGGATACGTTACACAAATAGGGCACGGAAGAGGTAGGCTCAGGAATTCAGAGTCTCTTAGTGATGGGAAATGGACCTTTGCACTTAGGGAGAAGATGTGTGAACCACAAACTCACACCCACCACCCTCATGAGCACCTCCTAACTCTCTCTGACACTCCTACTGAGTAAATGAAAATAAAGGTGCAGAGGCAATCCTTGAAACCCGGCTAGGGGCAGCAGGCATGAAGCATGATGATCTTTCCAGTGCCAAGGAAAGCAGGTTCATATGTGCCCAGGATGAGGCCTGTGCTCAAGACTTTGAGACCCAGAGGACCCAAAGGAGAGCACTCATAGGAAGCCTTGGTGTCCACTCATCAGGTGCCTTCACCAATAGGCTTCTTGAACAGGTGAGCACTTGTCATAGCTCAGTGGCTTTGGAGGAATGTACCCATGCAACTCATAATGGACCCATCAGGCAAAGGGGCCTTCCCTCAACCTTACCCATTGTCCTTTCTGGCTATAACTGCCGTGGCATGTTTATAACCACAAGGGCCATGAAGGGGCCTGAAAAGTGCCAGGTGCTGGCTTTAGAGGCAGGGTAGAGTGTTTGCATGCTGAGGACAGGTTCCTCCTACCCCTCCTTGCTTGCCATGTAAGCTTGGAAGTACCCCAAGCTTGGCTCCAACCCCGGGAGAGGTGGGCAGCCCTTCTCCATCATGGCCCCATGAACCATCTACCCCTCAGGTTCCAACAGCTGAGGGTAATCCCTTCCTCTCTTCAGGATGCCACTGTAAGAATCCAACCCCAGGGAAGCCAAGAAGGTTTAGCCTCCTTCCCTTTCGAAACTCACAAGAGTAAGGGGCTTCACAGCCATCACCCCATCCACCCACTGGTAGGGCAGATATCAGACATGAATCAGGCCTGCACCCTGACCTTCCTCCAAACCTATTTAGGCACACCTTCAGGTTCATTCCCTTAACAGATGGGACACTAGATAAAGCCAGGCAGCTTGCTAGACACAGACTTGGACTCCGACCTCAGAGAGCTCAGGTTCAAGACTGAGCCCAGGGAAGAAAGCAGCTGTCACAACAGGATTAGGCAAAGGCTGGGGGCAGGGATTATTTGATTCAGACTAGACCCTCCCAACAAAGTCTGCCTGCAGAAACTGTCCAGTCTGAGATTAGTAAACTGAGGCAGGGGCAGAGCTTTGTGGACCATATGCCCTGCAGAGGGCCTCTGTGAACAATGGGTGTGGAAAACGGAGACCTAGATCCACAGCAGAATCAACCAGAATATGGGGTAGGGTGCAGAGTTGGAGAGGAGGACTTGAAGCAGGGTACTTGGCATTGATGGGGCTAAAGAGGCAAACTTTAGAATGAGATTTTTGGAGATTACTGGGGACCCAGAAAGGGAACCCAAGCCTGGAGCTCCAGTCTCTGAAGAGACTACATCAGTCACCTACAGAACTGGGGATGGGAGAGCTTAATCAGCCCCTGGGTGATTAAAACTGCAGAGGGAGGGAGGGATGAAGGGAGGGAGAGAGAAGCTAGAGTCAGCCACTTAAGATGTGAAGTGTTCAAGAACAAGGCCACGTGTGCGTCCATGCTAGGCAAGTCTGTAAACAACAGTGACTAAGATACAGTCTCCTTCCTTTACTCCAGCCTGCAGTCTGTGCTCCCAGCATTTGCACAGCACTGGGAGGGAGGCTCCCAACTCCAGTCTGAAAGAGCACAGGAAAGCAGCAAGGTCGCCCATCTGGCTCAGAACCCCTCAGTCAGGAGGTGGCCAGGAGGGGCCCAGCTCCCTGAGGCTTTCAGGCCTGAGCTGGCCTCCCCTCCCACTCAGCCATTTGACCATTGCTTAGTTCACTGTATACAGGAACCCACGAAGCCGCCCTGCCCCATCCCACCCTCCGCACGGAGAGCGGGCCCCACCCTTCCTCCACTGGTGTCCAGTGGCCTCACCCAATTAATAAAATCATGGAGACCTATGTGATGAGGCAGTGGCCTGTCACTCCAAAATAGACCAGCTCTCTGGAAACACATCCTCCAATGAGAGCTTCTAGCTGGCAATGTAGGTTACAGGGAGCTCTGCCTCAGCCTCCTGAGCTCATTAAAAATAAAACAAACACCCATTCCCTCCTGCCCCCCCCCCCCCCCCCCCCCCCCCCCCCGCCGGTCTGCTTCCCTACCTTCCTGTCTGGACACTGTGCCCTTTCTTCACGGAATGTGTTTTTTTTTTTTTTTTTTGCTGGTAGGACAGATGGTGAAGGCAGGAAGTTCATCATTCCTGGGGGCTTTGTGCAGTGGGGGACCCTCTTGGGACCCTGGCTGGGGGCCGTTTGAGAGAATGCTTCCCTGGCACAGTGGCAGAGTGTGTGGAGTGAGTTCTGTGTGAGAGGTGGGCATCTGGAGACACCAGAGCAGTGGGGGGCTGTGGCAAGGTCACACACAGCCGGCAAGCGTCACCCAGGCTGCCGGGAGACCCCTTCACTGGGATGCCTTCAGACACCAGAACCTTTTCTGGATACCCGGGCATGCCAACCCCCAGCAATTCCCCACAGGAAAAGTGTCCAAATGTCACACCCCGAGCTAAGTGTAAAAGGTAGGTTGCACTTGAGTGACCACTCACAATGCTGCCAAGCTCTGGCTAAGAGCTACCCCATCTCTGGGGAAGACTCCTGGATGCTCTGGCCACCCTCCGGGGTTCTCCCCCAGACTTGTGGCTCACTCAGACGGCACCAGCACGACCCCGTGGTAGGAGAGACCAAAAAGCAAATCTTGAGGTCTTGTCACAACCAAGAACATTAAAAAAAAAATTAACCTCGTCTTTGTTTTGTGCCTGTAGCACCTGGAATTCCTAGCTGCGGTCACTTCCCAAGCAGGTCCCAACCAGGCTGATCTTGCTGGGCTTCCAAGATCAGGCAAGATCTGTGGACCCTGGGTGGTATGATAACCACAGACAGACAGACATTTAAAAATTAAAACAAAAGTGCCAGGTTTCTAGAAGAAAATTCTTTTCGAATATATCAATAGGGTTCCTAGAGAATTTAAAAAATAATAAAAATAAAGCTCGGCCACTATGATATCAGTAACCTCACAGCATTGGCTGTGTCAAACTATAATGTGTAAAAACCTGTGTCCTACAGCATTTTGGTTCATTTATCCAAGCGAGTTCTAAATGGCGGCACGTGTTGTAAGAACCCACCAAACTTCCTCTATTTGCAAAGATCATCAATTATCTTCATTTTCCGTTCCCAGCATAATCCTCACGTCGATAGAGCAGTGCCCAAGGGCCAATTTTTCAGTGTTACCCAAGCAATCAACTCCCACAAAAGCTAGTACCTTGAGGAGAAGCGATTCCTGTTATCTTTGACTGAAACGTCAGACAGTGAGCACACACCACGGATAGAAAGCAGCTTGGGGGTCTTCCCGCCCAGCTCACCCCTCCCCCTGCCAACCACCACTCCAGAGCGTCTTCGCTCCATTCTATCGGTTTACAACGAAATCATTACGTAATGAGTCGGCCGGGCTGGGCTCAAAGCGAGTTCTACAGTAACCTGTTTGGAATCAAGGATGCAGTTGTCAGAGAAGAGCATGCGCACAAAGCCGAGTGCTTTTTTTTTTTTTTTTCCTCTACAGCTCAAGGCAAGAGGTAACTGTCGGTCAAATCCTGCTGAGCCTTGCTGACTTCAACTACAGGATGCTAAAAATGAGATAAAGGGGAGGGACTGTGCGATGTGGGCTCCCAGCGTATGGGAAGGAGCAGGCAGGCTAGTAACACAGCTAGGAGAGAAAGGGACGGTCGGGGTGGGAATACGGAGGGCATGCTGTTTGCACTCCACAGCCCGAGAGGATATGAACTAGCAACATCCGCGTGTTAGGCGGGGCCGGTAGGGCCAAGGGTAAGATCAGACGGGTGGGGGGCTGTGGTTTTGTTGTAGTCCCCCCCCCCTTTTTTTTTTCCTGGAGCACTGAGTGACCGTGCAAGAGGAGACGGTGGCCCACCTCTGGGCACAGCGCTTGTCTAGCAATTAATTCGGCAGCAACCAGGTTTTACCCAAAGATTGGTACCTGGGAGGGGGGCAGGGGGATAAATGCCCACATGCTGTCCTCACCCTGGGAAGGTTCTGGGCTCGTCCTCCTCTGTCTCCCCTGGGACTCCGCTGCCTCCTCCAAGAGCAGCTGTCCCTGGGGATCGCAGGAGAGCAGGCTCCGTTTCGTGGGGCGCAGGTTCTCTTTTCGTCGTCCCCCCCACCACTGTGCCCAGCGCTCCGGAGGGTGGCGCAAGAAGTCTCCGCCGCCTGCCTGCCCCGCAGAGCTCCCCAGGGAGACCCGACCCTCCCTTCCCTCCGGCTGGGCCTGCAGTCCCCCACCCTGCCCCGTGCGCTCCCACATCCCGAGCCCCTCACTCAGGAGACGGACAAGTCAAGGCCATCCATCTGTCCACTTGTGGGGCTGCTCGCTGCCCCGTGTCCGTCCCTTCAGCTTCCCAGAGCCCTAAGCCAGCGCAGGAGCATCCCGAGGCTCCAGGTGGCCGGGGCGGAGGCGAGCAGGGCCGGGCACCTCTCCAGGATGCCCCGGGTCAGCGTCGGGAGGACGCGCTCCTAGGTGGGGGTGTGAGGACCAGGGTGCCGGGCTCTGTGTTTCCAGTTTCCCTAGAAGATAAAAGCCGGCCCCGAGTGCAAAGGACATGCGACTCACCATGGCGGTGCCGACCGAGAAAGCGGCCATCAGACAGGCCATGCCCCGGGGGCGGCGGAGGCAGCAGCGGCGGCGGCGGGGACTAGTTCGCAGGAACGAGGCTGCGCTAGCTCCGGCTTCACCGCGGCGCTCCTCTCGGTTCCGACTGCGCCCCGGCTCCGCCCCGGCCCCCGATTGGCCCGCGCGGAGGGGGCGGGGCGCCGACAGGTGCGCGTGCTCTTGTTTTGCTCCTGTTGAAGAGCGGCTGGGGGATGCTATGGATTGGTAGCCTTCTGCTAGGCCTCATAGCTCCTGAGACCCCACCACCGGGGCAAGCCCAGTACAAGGACCTCACAGGGCCTGCGCCAGCCCAACCCTAGGCGAGCCAGTGGGCGAGCCCTGCAAACCAGAGGGTCCTTGTTCAGGAAACCTCCAGAGGTAGCTTGAGGAGAGCAAAGGGGTGGGGAAGAAGCCAAAGGGCTCTTTTCATCTGCCTTTGTTATGCCTATATCTTCCAGGTGGAAGCCCCAGGGGACAAAAAGGGAAGAGAAGACTGCTGCGGGTCCCTCCCAACAGCTCTAGTGTGAGGTGACCTCTATATTGAGGCAGCACTGAGGGGTTCATACGGGGGGGGGCGCACCTAGGCCTCCATCAACACCACTCCATCCCCAAATAAGCCACAGGGGTGTTTCCAGTGTCTTACGCAGCCATGTTCTTGAACCCCACATCTACTGAAGCCCTCTATCAGATACAAGTGGGCCTTTTCCGGATTTAATCCCCTCAGGTGTTGTTGTGGGATCCACTTGAATGCAACATAACTCAAACACCAGGTCAATGCAGGTGACAAAAATTTATTGTAATCAAGCCGATGCTTGATCCAACAGGGCCACAGGACAGACACGGGAAATGAGCTACGACCCCAAAACCCCGAAGGGATGCTGTATGGCAGGCATATTTAAAGGATTAAACTATAAGGCAAGAGGGTGCGGGGTGGGCCGCAGCACCGACCAATCGTATTTTGACATAAGGGGTTGAGCAATGGGATTTCCATCAGTCAGGATAGGAGTAGGTTCCTAGGCCTGGGATCATGCCAGCAAGATGGAGAAGTTGTCCTTGAAAAGGCTGGACTCAGACAATTGTCTCCTTACAAGTTGTCCCTGAGAAGTCTCGACTCAGACAACTGTCTCCTTACAACAGAAGCCGTTCAGCTGTTGGGAAGTCCCCAGCTCCCTTGGGGCCTGGGACCTTGAGTTTAGTTTCTCCCTAGGATTAAATGGAGTCTGAAATGAAATGGTCGTACTTAGAATAAGTGTCCTTTGCTTTTTCCCAACAATGAAAAGCTAAAGCTTCTGTTGAAGCTATTTTCTGTCACCCTCAGCACAATAGAGCCACCTGCTCCAACACTTGGCCTGTGCTCTCCTAGAAGGGGGAAAGCAAATGGGGGCCACACCCTCAGATCCTTGACCTTGGCCAAGGTTTTCCCTAGAATCATAGAAAGTGGACCTGGCTGAGTTTGGAAGGGATAAGGGGTGGACTTCCATGCCTGAGGGCCTAATTGATGTCCCTGTCTGGTGTCAAGAAATGCTGACACAGCCTGGGCATTCTAGAAAAAGATCACCAATACAGACTTCCCAGGAAGCAATAAAGTTTTCTGGGGCCCGGGCTGCTGTCTGCCCTGGTGCCCACCACTGCTCCAGAGGCAGCCCAGATGGACAAGAGGAGCCCGAACAATGTGAGCAGGACAAAGGCCACACCTATTTTTGATTCGTGCGCATTTGATCCAAACATAGTCCAGTTAGCTTCAGTCGCCAAGTAGCCTTGATGCAGTCTGGCCACAGTGGATGGTCAGGAGCTTCAGATGGGAGGGCAGTACTTTCTGGGCTGCTGAGAATGCACAGAGGTCAAGGTGTAGCCTGAGGCCTTCCGGGAGGAAGCCACTTCCTGTTTCAGAGAGAAGGCTCCCATTATTAAATTCTCACAACCTCGGAACCGTTGGGAGATTGGCTTCCATACCCCCACTCAATGCCAGATTCTGTGGAAGCTCACGTCCTTCGTATGCAAGGACGCAAGGTTTGCTTTTAACCCATCCCTGACCCACTCCTAACATGGTGCATCTACATCTAATAAAATTCGAGTGTCATTTCAATGCTGCTAGCACTTAGAGGAAGGGCTCTTAAACTGTGGGTCCATACTTCATCTGGAGCTGCATGACAGGATGTGTGGGCCAGGAAGAAGGTGGCAAAAGTTTACTCAAGATCAAACACAAAACGAACCCAAGGGGTTTCTGTCAACACCCGCCTGTGCTGCATCTCAGCCATCAACTGCAGCCTTGATCCTCAACATACAACACGCACACACACACACTTTGCACTCACTACACAGGCCATCATATTACACAACTCTGCCCAAACCACATTACTCCAGATTTCCAAATATTGTATGTTGATTTTTTTTTTTAACTGCACATTCAAAGTTGTGGGCTCTCTTGGAAATGTAATGGTTTAATGATGGAAAATAACATCTCTTAATATTTTTTTCTGCCATAGCAGATGCGGTGGCTGTTAGTTCTGTCAGCTGGACACAAATCTAGAATCACTTGGGGTGAGAGTCTCTATGAGGGATTGTCCAGGTCAGGCTGGCCTGTAGATGTGTCTGCAGGGGACCATCTTGATTACATGAGTTGATTACATGAGAAAACCTAGCCCACTGTGGGAGGTGCCATTCCCTAGGTTTGGGTCCTGAACTGACAGGGATAGAGAAAGCCAGCCAGGTTACTAAACATACCCATACATTATGCATTCATTTTCTCTCTGCTCTTGACTGCGGATGTGATGGGGCTAAGGAATTTAAGTTCCTGCTGCCTTGGCTTTTCTGCTACGAAAGGCTGTAACCTGGACTTGTGAGCTGAAACAGACCCTTTCCCCTCCGAGTTGTGTTTTGTTTTTATATCGTGGGAACTGAACTCTGGGCCTCATGCATTCGACCACTGAGATATACCCTAACCTCCCTTGAGTTGATTTTTAGTCAGGGTATTTTTGTCACAGCCACTGAAATGACCCTAGGGCAACAGGTGGGTATCAAATTCGTATACCTTGGGATTGGATTAAGTTAGAAACACACTTATCTCATTTGTATACAGATTTGCTTTCCTCTTTAATAAATGGTAAGATGATGCATATGATGAATTGTTTTGTAATGAAGGTGTGATTTATTGTCTGTAACTGTTTGATTTGTATACCTATTTTATAAAATTATACAACCAGAGTAGTGTAAAAATGTCTCAGCCAAAAAAAAAAAAAAAAGAAAGGAAAAAAAAAGGATTATGAATGGAAAAAACTCAAGAAGCTTATTTTAAAGAAGAACAAGCATCAAGTGGGGCAGGGGGGGAGGGGAAGGTACGTAGTTGGTGCATGTTTTAACACTTTTCATCCAGGGTTTCTTGACTATACAGATGCAGAACACTCAGACACAGAGGGCTGACCACAGATGCCACCAGTAGCAAGGCATCCCTGTATCTGCCTCCTGTCATCCTGCTTGCTCTCAGTCCCAAGGCTACAAGTTGGCTCTTGTCTGTCATTGCAGGCCCCAGTGAGGCAACCAAGCTATGAACCATCTGTCCAGGCCCCTGTGCCTTTATCCAGTCTCCACACCCCCAGTTTTCCAGCAAAGCTTCACAGGACGTGCATGCTTCCTTCCCCCTCTTCTCTGGATGTGTGCCAGTTTCTCAGACTCCTTTGTGAAATGCTGAATCCGATATGGAGTGCTATTCAGTATGGTCTGACCAAGACAGAAAAAATGGCCAGGATAGCCCAGTCTCAAATCTAGATGCTCTATTCTGCTAGCACTACCCACTCTGGATTGATGGTGTGGGAAGCTGCTATAGCCAAGAGACCTTGAATGATGTCCAGCCAGCCAAGGCCAGGCCCTCCGTGGCAGACTCCTGTGGTGCTGTATTTTCATAGCCTGAGTTCAGGTTTCACATTTATGTCTTATATACATGTCCCAACATCTCACACCATCTCTATGCCCAGGCTCTATGGCAGTCCCTGTGTGATAGTGAGCATGTGATCTCCGCAAACCAAAATCTGTATCTATGGCCAGGCTGCTGTCCTAAAGCAAACCACTGGCGTGGTATCTCTGGGGCTCATAGGTCAATGGACTCTCTGTCATTTGACTACAGTCACTGTCCTTCCCATATGGACTTCCACTGGTCCCCTGCGTACCTTATACTCAAAAATCCCACCCTCAGGGATATACAGTTTCTCCGTGCTGGACAGGTAGCTACTGTGTGAGCTGAGGGTTCAGGAAGAAGGGGCCTTTAGGACTGAGTCTCTGGTGTGAGAACTCTACAGTGAGTATATGGTATAGGCACCTAGGATTCTCCACAGGGCTGTGGCTCCCCTGATGAGCATCTGCCGGTAGCTGGACAAGCATGATGCTGGCTTTCCCTCTTAGGTGGTCCCTTTCCTGGGGAATCTGTTGGAGGTTGGCCTGATGCTAACTACTGGCCCTCTGTGTAAACCTGCCTAGGTCCTAATACCCGATTGGCTAATTAAACAGCCTATACCTGGGCAAGGCAGAATGTGGTAGGTGTGACTAAGGTTCCCAGGCTTTTCGGAATCCCACGAGGAATCACGGGAAGGACAGACGAAGGAGGACATCACAGTGGGTTAGCCAGGAGAAGAAACCATGTGGCCTGGGAGGAAGGACTCCAATAATGGCATGAAAATAGCCCAGGTAAAGAATATAAGCTAGTACCATGGGATTATGGATGAAAGATAGACCAGTTGAGGAGGATTAAGGTGGATGGTATTAGATAGGGGCTGGGAAATGGATGGTGAGGATATTGAAACAGTGTGAGTAAAACATCTGCTCTGCCCAAGGTAAATAAGGCAATTATAAAATCCAACAAGTGTCTGTGTCTTGCTATTTGTGATAGTGGATTAGATAATACCACCGTGACAATCTCAGGGCTAATAATAAGTAGCATGTAGCCCAACACCTTTCTTCTTATGTACTACAAGAGAAATCCCAGCAGTAGGTCCAGCGTGCCTCCAGAAAAGCCTTCAGGGACCACCATGGCACCAGTTCTCTTGTCTGTCTTTAGTTAGGTAAGGAGAGTTCAGATGAGTTACCTTCCA